GTTCCATCAGGAAACTAGTCCTTTGTGCTGGCCGTCTCCCAGACATCGTTTGGACTGACGAGAAAATCTTTCACGAGGTCGCGCATAACGGCGAAAACCAGCGGCAATTGCTTCATCAGAGAAAAACTCCAGAAAACGACGGGTAAAACCAGGAGCCTGTTCCCGAAGTCGGTGATGGTTCTGGGCCGGGATAACATCAGAAGGCAAGACACCTCTCGTTTTTGTTGATAAAAACATCAAAATCAACTCGGAAACCTACCAGAATGTTATTTTGAGGGACACACTGATGTCGTGGGCCCATAAACACTTTGGAGGACGAAATTTTATTCTGCAACAAGACTGGGCGCCAGCACATGGGTCGAAATCTACGATTTCCTTCTGCCAACGTCATTTTCCTGGATTCTGGGACAAAGACATGTGGCCATCTAACTCCCAGACCTCAATCCAATGGACTATTCCGTTTGGAGCTATCTGCAGCAGAAAGTGTCTTCTTCTTCCCACCGCAGTTTGGATAGTCTGAAAGCAGCGCTTCAGAGGGAATGGCAGAAGATTGTCAACTACCTGCGGCCCACCGTGGAAGCCTTTACCAAGAGATTGGAAGCTTGTATTCTGGCCAAAGGCGATCATTTCGAACAGTACCTCGAGTAAATGTTCCTGTATCTAGATCTTATCATTTGACAAAATTTCATGAAAACTGCATGGTATTCATTTTTTTCTTATGCGAGTAAATACCGCCCACACATCGTAGCCACCCTGTAGATGCCGCCCTTGCGGAGGTTTTGACAGACAATTGCTCACTTTCAGTATGGCGTCAGTGGCTTCCGTCCTGGGATGATTCTAGAATTAGTGCTTCTGTTAGCTGTGATCGCATCCATCAATACGTCTACTGTTGGGATTGAATAAAGTTCTTCTTGAAGAAAGCCACACAAACCAGCAACTTTTTGACACTTCAACGTCAAATGTTTCTTCAAATGTCAATACAGGTAAGCATCTCATCTCTCGTTCATCTTGAAAATTTGTTTTTTGCATTGGTTTCCTGTGCCAAAATTCAGAAGAAAGCAGAAGAAAAGATGATTCAGATACAACTTTCTAGCAGTGGTCAAGCGACGATAGTAACGGTTTAAAAAGAATATGAAAGAATAAGTATTATTATTTTGAAATATTGAATAGCGCGATGAATCACTGGAAAGCATGATGAGAAGTGAAATGTCTGTCCTGACGCCAGACAACGTAGTGGGTGAATCAAGCCGAAGAGAGCTCCTCTGTGCGCGGTAATTGCCTGCCGGTTACGGCTTATGGCTCTTGCTCGATACTGCTGTGTGTTTAAGACACAGTCAACAAACGACTGCTACCCGCAAGAATCAGCAGCAGTCCCGGACTGTAGCAGATTGCTTATTATAAGCAGTGGTACAGCATGCCTTTTACGCCACAATTAAACGTAATTTAGAGATTTTTTTTCATATCTACTGAGAATTGGTTAGCTGCGTGACGCTGGTGGAGTAGCAGTAAGGTCCTGAAGACGACGAATTGTTCGAAACGTCGACCGAATAAATCTATTCCACCTAACAACCTGTATGGCATAGAAACAACAACACGTATTGAGATTCCCTTCATTTAAAAAACATGACAAACAATAATAATTGGTGTGGTCAGAGAATTTTGCGTGACGGATTGCTCAATCTCATTTTTTGTGGTTGCCACCATGCATTACTGCCGGTTTCAGTGTCGTATGCATTTTGATTTCGCAGATATTGCTAGCTCGTTTTTGTTGCCTCATACAATGGTCTTCACCAGTTTAACCGGGTCCGGGATCACTGGAAATTTGCGCACCGACAATGGCATTCCGAAACACCCGAAGAGTTGAATAGCAGTAAGCCTAGATACGTCTCAAATGCTTGCGTTCATAGCAATGAACAGAAACGGACCATTATATCTAGATGCCGGTATCAAGTTCTTAATCGTCGTATATCGCCCTCGCCCTGATGTACCAAGTGTGCAGGGAGTTGAGAGCAGGGTGAACAACGGTCGAGGAAATCCTCGACCACGCTTCTGTAGTGCTCGCGATAGGTGCCGAAGTGAAACGAAATCGAGAGAGAGCCACAGGTGGGCTCTCGTGCCACAGCGATGTGTGTATTGCGCGCAAAAACGAGAGGAAGCAGATTGAGAAATCTCGAGCCGAATGTCCTGAGCTGAGCAGCATGATTGTCTAGAATTCACGCCTCCCACTCGACAGGAACACAACCCTTTAACTTGAAAATACATGTCCGAAAGAATGTCACCTTGTTCTCTGTTTTGTTTAGTATTTCATGTTCTGCTACATCAAGCTTGATTATGCGCTGTGAAGAAAAGGGCTTAATATAAGCTTTCTACACTGCTAGAGGGGCGTCAATGCTATTTGTTTCCAGGGCTCGCTGTGCCGCGTAAAATGTAATTCTTGATCGGCTTGACCATATTGCTTACGCATGCGTGCTTATTCCTGCTTCACTTGGATATTGCGAACTACTCAGCAACGAACTGACAGTTAGGCACGCTTACAACGCTTTCTCGCGTCGTATATCCAATATTCTAACTCACTTCGTATCTCATTATGTTCATAAAGGCAATATAGATTTATTTACTATGGTTAAAATGAAATTGAGAAATCCACAGGGAAGATCAACTAATCCGCTTTTTCCAATTGTTATAAGGATAAGTGAGGTACATGTGACTCATTCTTGAAAGCAGCTTTCGCTTAGTGGAGCATGATTTGATGTGCAGTTGATCAGCTTGACTTTGTGTTTCATTTCTGGCTTTCAAATTTTGGTTGTTCTAAAATGGCATTGAATGTGCGCTACTACAACAGGAACGATGATGTGACTCCATAAAGCTTCACAATAGCAATGATTTGATTCATGACCTGTGTTACAAGGCAAAAAGCAACGGCAACCGAATTGAGATTAGCTGATAGCATGTCCATAAATCGTAGTGTGCCGGTCATTCCATCGATTCAGCGACAGGAGCTAAGCAGCGAAAAATGTGTGTTTGTTTTGTTGCGAAAAATTCGAAAACTAAGAATACTGTAAATTAGTTTCTTGCTTCTGTTTAGCCTTCCAGGTTTGATATGGTGGAACACTTTATTGGTCGACGTTTCGAACAAATCGTCGTTTTCAAGACCTAAAAATTGGTTCGAAGCTCTAGTTTGTAGCCTATCCGCTCACACCCCACTAGTACCAAATGTTACGCTTCTCAGTAATCTCAAACCAAGATAAGTTCCAGCTAAAACCAACCTCTTACGGCTCCACCAAGTACTGGGTCCCGCTCGGTTCCGTGGACAGCTGACGAAAAATGAGACACCCTCACTCAAACGTAGTACGTGCAAACGTGTACGTGCAGTGATGATCTCACAATTCGCATAAGGGAATGAAAGGCAGGAATTCACTCGTGACGGCCATGCACTCATTTCGGTTGTTCAGCTTTGGATTTCGCACACGGATGTAAAACGCTTCTAGCATTTTTCTAGCACCGACATCATGTTCCTGGGTCAGGATTTTACATTCTATATCAAAGTCATTGCCCGCATGTTTTTCAAACCGGTGCTTGCCAAGCGGAGTGAGAAGGCTTCCACGTCTTTTCCCAGCCAGGTGTTCTTTAACGCGTATACCTAACATCCTGCCTGTTTCCCCAATATACGCTTCGCCACAGGTTGAACATTGAAGTTGGTATACAGTTCCTCTCAATGTGCAATCTCCATGCCTTCCATATGGACAAACAAATGCAGTTTTGTGTAGTGCATGTACGATCGTACAACCTATTGCGGATTAGCAGATGTTTAATATTGCTTTTTGGCACAGAGATATACCTATTAGACTTTTTGGCACGTTACACTCAAACTAACGTGTTAGCTAAAATTCGCTCCAGTAGTATGTCACTGCCGTTTGCTGCCTATCTGATGTGAAGGAGAGTTGGAGAATCGCCATGTTCTCGCGATTTCTCGGTATGCCCTGGCGTGTCTTCGCGGTTTCTCGCGGAATGTCTTCGTGAGCCTGATCCTCCGAGTTGAGTTCCATAGCCATTCGCCTTTGTGATATCAGAAGCTAGCTTTCTCGACTCATCTCGCTCCATTTCGCCTGTACAAACTCCAACAGCTGTTTTCGCCCCACAGTTTCCATATAGAATTCAGCATTAATCGATGTATTTTTGAATGCGCCACACACTCTGTTTCCATTCAGCACAAACACGGCGATGACAGAGAGACATTGGCACGGACAATGACTTGCGAAGCCACTCCATGTAGAAGTCAGTTTATCCTATCAGACGAAACAGTCTGGTATCAGTTAGCGGATATTGGAGGGACGTAGAGTGTGGCTCACTTGTATGGTGTACGATACAGGACTTGACCACGTCTCTCTACAAATACGAATACGTGAAGGATCAAGCGAATCTTTGATTTGAGCCTTCCCTGATCAAGCTAGCGCTGCGGTCATCGCATACTGCATAGTTTGCTCATCGATCATTAGTAAGAAAGCATAACTTCAAATTCTGAGCATGCTAACATGTATTCTATTATTTATCTAAGTATATCTCGTGCATGATTTGTCACCCCGCTAATAGTCCTGAACTTTTCACACGTGTCATCAACGTTTCCTTTGCTTGTCGGATTACACCGGAAAATTCTCATCGTTCTAGGGCTGCTCGCGCTGGCTCACTTTTCGCGAAGAACCCACCATCAAGCCGGTGGTCGTTTGGTGTTTACTTGACTACCAGAGAGATGCAGCCAATGAGCTCTGTAGTGCAATTATCATCACAAAATTGATCATTTTATTACTACTACCACTACTACCACGTTTATAACTTCTTGGGCCAGATTCTTACATTCAGCATCTTATTACATTATCGAACAAGTAGACAAATACCGTCACCAACAACACGTTCCAGAAAATAAATTTTAGGACAAGAAGCACAACTAGCAAAGTGACAGCGTAGTGGCACTGCATGTTTTCCTTTCTAGGGAGTTTATATTAACCAAAGAAACCAAATCCGAACCATGGTCTATAATAATAACTGTAGGGGTTATAATAGCCGTAGCCGTAGTATGGGTAACCTCCACCGAGAACACAGAACGATCCTTTCTCTGGATCCATGGGTGGGAGTTTATCATTAGCATCCACATCCTGAAAAAAGTGATTGAAACTGTCTTAACAAAGAATTACCACATTAGCTCAAAAGAGTTGCTCAGAGTTCTGAACTTACGTATTACTGTGGGTGGAGGTAAGGTGTGGCGTTGAATTTGACCCATTCTTTCCCTTAGCGGACGGCAACACAATCCCCTCTCCACTATAAAATCACCCAAGCCCTTCGCGACACATCATTTTGATACACCCAAATTTCCGATTTATGCAGACGACTTCGAAACTTTTTATTTCTTACCTCTTGACCGCTATTCGTCCCGGGTCGCACATCTCCCAGGTCGCTCTGCTTCGGGCTCTTCTGCGCCACGCTGGCCGTACAATTTTACGAGAGGGTCTGCCCATTGGGTGGGGGTCTGCCTCTGGGCCTTGTTTTCTCCCTTGGGTACCAGTCAGTATTTCGAAACGGTCCAGCGATCATCGGCTATAACTTGCCATCATTCTGATTTGCTGTTCCCGCCCCTGTCGAGGATACCTCTACGAGGAGAATTAGAAGAAATGAGGCATGTTGTTTGGCTGATGAGAAGGGGTATGAACCGCATTCGGTAAACTTCCTCGCCACTGTAGTTGACCTGGCTCGAGATTATACGTTTATATGACGCTTTTAGGAATCAATCATTTGAATTCGATAGTTAGTGCTACCCATTGTGCTAGCTAAGAACTACTAAAATAGAGTATAAAGGAGGGGGCACAAAAGTCCCCTGCTTGTACGGTGCAGCAACGAAATTCACGTCGTTACAATGATACAATGTTGAAAAAGATCCTATAGGTATGAACTCTATCCCCATTGTCCCACTACTGATCAAAAGGTGGTGAATTTTAGTTGCTGATGAGCTCGACGTCGTCTTCTTCTTCTTCTTATTCTTCAGCGTTTGTCCCGCTTGTTGGCGGGGTCCGCTTTTCTGATGTGCTGTCGCCACTTTTCCCGATTAAATGCTTGGTCGGGGTGATGTTCCTGACTTCAAGTTTCTGTGCAACGTCTATGTTGCGGCCGATCAATACGGCAAACTGTCATCATTTCCCGCGCAGAAAACTCAACGTCGTGTTTTGTCTCGGTTAAGGAAGTTCAAATCGTCGTCAACCGAGTCTGTGATGACCGATTCTTTGGTACCGGTGGTTCCAGACTCGCTGCAATTCGGAGGAAGTTTCGTGTAATTCAGCGATCTCATTGGCGGGCTTAGCCGCTGGGCTATGTCAGTCCGAGCTGGAGATGGAATTTTCTGAAGTAGAACGTCGTTTCGTTTTAGGTGTCTTGCGCTAAAAATGGTACGGTAAGATGCTAACATCTATCAAGGTCAATTGGCAGACATCGGGACTGTCTTGGAATGTGGAGGCCATGTCAGAAGATGCAGAGAGATGGAGGTTGAGAGATGCTATCTTAAACCTTCAAGTATCACCATCTTAAGCGGTTTTCTGCATCAGTATACTATGTTATATCAGTGAATTTCGTTCGTATCAAAAGCTTTTGTGGGAGCTTGGAGCGTTATGTTGGATTTTTTAGCGAAAAACGTACAGATAGAGTTTAGCAAAGTACAGCCAATTCATAATTGTTCATGGTGCGATACTGACAATGAAAGAAAATCCTTCTGCTCAGTAATCTCATCTTGAACACTAACATCGGAAAGCGAAAGGCACACTCGCAAGAAATCCATTCATACTTACCGTTTCAGGTGTAGATGTTGGAAGCGCAGCCGATGAAAGCGCAAGGGCTAGTAGTAGGCAGAGGAAAGTACATCTGAAAGAACATTTCTTAGTGCTTGTCGTCGCTGCCGTGAGTCGACGTAGTTCAGTAAGAGTGAAGTGATATGCTAATTTGGACAAGCTCTGTTTTGATAATGGTACAATCTTCACGTACATAGAAATCAGCTGCTCAATTATGTATTCTTCAAGGTGTTTTTGAAATCGGCTTTATTTGTTTGCATTTTGATTCTACACTGCAATCGTTTCGGGAAAGGGTTCAATTTACTTGACTAAAACTGTCATTTGGAAACTACCCTAATTTCCGAATACGCCTCGAGCCCGCACTAGTACATACATATATACAGTAGCGGTCAAAAGTTTGGAAACTTTTTTATTTTTGATCTAGCATAGTCGATAGAGAACGGAATTGTCCCGAATTCACATAATATTTACAAAATCAAGTGCAGAATACGATGAGCAACATGATTTCTTGAAAACTAGAGTCGCAGATAAAAAATAAGAATTTTTATAAGAAACGGCGCGTCAAAAGTTTGGAAACTCCTTAATTCCAAAGCGAATTCAGCAGAATAACCCTCGAATCTACATGATAAACTAGTAGTTCGATAAGTAGCTGTAAAATTCTATGTTAGCACTGTTTTTATTGACATGGAGCTGATAAGAACTAATTTTAGAATTTTTAAGACGAACCCTACACATTGTGGACTAAATAACATTGTTTGGTGGGATTGTTCTTTAGTGCAAAAGGATTGAGCGACATATCAGCTCTTCTGTGAGATGAAGAACTCGGTTAGACTTCAGATCTTGACTTGGTCGCTTCATAGCAGCTTCTTTTCTGGGTTTAGGAAGGCGGCAGTGAGGAGGCAGGCCTGCATCGGGTTCGTTTCCGCAGTAGAAAACCCATCTTTTCCGGCTAATTCTGACTATCGAAGGGAAGCATTGTATTCCACAGACTATCCTTGTATTTAGCCTAACCCACATTTCGCTGGATGTTAGAAGAACCAGGGAATCGCCGAATGGTCGGACATATCTTCATCCATGACAATGCTTCCACTATTTCTGACTGTTAGACTCTCATAGCTAGAATCAGGTTTCATGTTGATAGAACACTTCGCAGGTTCCATAACATCATTTCCAGGGAGACAGAAATTTCACTCGTCGCTGAGGACGAAGTTTTACTTCTCGCCATCAACCCATGTTAGCCGTTAGTGTGCGGGGGCCAGTTGGGCCATCCTGCTCTTGTAGGCCAACAATGGCTTCTTGTTGGGATATCATCCGTGATATTCACCAGGTCGTGGCCGATGTTGGGCTGTGCTTGGACTTTCATACGATTAGGTTCAAACCAGAAAAAATCGTCTCTTAGTTGGGCATATCGGGGGTACGGGGCGTGCCAACCACCCTTCGAAGTATTTGAGGAGGGCCAATTTCCTTGTGAGAATACT